CCAATGGAAATTGAGCATCTTGTGTTGTTGCTCTTGTTCGTTGTGCTGCTGGAACTATTCTTGGTGTTTGGTTTGACTTCAAACATTATCCTACTTTATTGTTTCTAAAGGATTTTCCTGGTTAACTAACAATCTTTTGTCTCTGTGATGCAGCTTGGAGTTGATACTGTGCCGGTCCTCGTAGGTCCTGTTTCATACTTGTTGCTATCAAAACCAGCAAAGGGTGTGGAGAAATCCTTTTCACTTCTCTCCCTAATTGACAAGATTCTTCCCATCTATCAGTGAGTGTCCAACTTTTTTCCCTTTGGGTGGATATTAGGTTATGCTAATTGTTTCCATCTCAAGAATCTATGCTGATGATTAGTTTCTTTCCAGGGAAGTTGTGGCCGAACTAAAAGCAGCTGGAGCAACCTGGATACAGTTTGATGAGCCTAAGCTTGTGATGGATCTTGGAGTGCATGAATTGCAAGCATTTACTCATGCTTACTCAGCACTTGAGGCATCCCTATCTGGTTTGAATGTTCTGATTGAGACATACTTTGCTGATGTTCCCGTTGAGGCATACAAAACACTAATTTCTTTGAAGAGTGTTACTGGGTTTGGGTTTGACCTGGTTCGAGGAACAAAGACCCTAGATTTGATCAAGGGTGGATTCCCTTCTGGAAAATACCTCTTTGCTGGAGTGGTTGATGGAAGGAACATTTGGGCTAACGATCTTGCTTCTTCCCTCAGTGTACTACATGCTCTTGAGGGCATTGTGGGCAAAGGTATTAATGCTTTCGTACCGTGTTTTATCATTGCCATTTTGTTGTACTTGACATGAAGTTGAAAAATGAATCTATTGTACTTGACATGAAGTTGAAAAATGTATCTATCTTATGCTTCTACAGACAAGCTTGTAGTATCTACTTCCTGCTCTCTTCTCCACACCGCTGTTGATCTAGTTAACGAGCCTAAGTTGGACAAAGAGATCAAGTCATGGCTTGCGTTTGCAGCACAGAAAGTTGTTGAAGTAAATGCCTTGGCCAAGGCACTTTCTGGACAGAAGGATGGGGTACCTCATTTCTCAGTTTTCTCATCTTACACAACGCATTATTTAAAACTTAAACATTGTCTGCATTTTCCAGTTTATGTTTATATATTGTGTGCTCATCAGGTTCCTTTTAGACAGTTTTAAACCCAATCTTCGACTAATGCATTCTGTTTCAAATGAATTGATTTATGGCTGGCTGCATTCATACATATTGAGTTGTTTGTGGTCAATATTAGAAAACCAAGAAACCTTAATCTTAAAAGGTTCCTTAATAGAACTAGTAAAAGCTATACTAAGTTCTTTTTCTCCTACTTCTGTACATCCAGGAATTCTTTTCTGCAAATGCAGCAGCTCAGGCTTCTAGAAAATCCTCACCAAGGGTCACCAACGAGGCTGTTCAACAGGCTGTGAGTGGTTTCTAGTTCATCCTTAATTCTGCTGTGTGGCTTATGTTGGATAGCTTGCTCTTATGTTACAGTGTTGATCCTTCTTGGCTTCTTGCTTAGGCTGCTGCTTTGAAGGGTTCAGACCACCGCCGTGCAACCAACGTTAGTGATAGGCTGGACGCTCAGCAGAAGAAGTTGAACCTTCCAATTCTTCCAACCACCACCATTGGATCATTTCCTCAGACCTTAGAACTTAGAAGAGTGCGCCGTGAATACAAGGCTAAGAAGTGAGAACTACTGTTGTGAAGTTGCTCCTATGATTTAATTTATTAGTGCTTGTGTTTCAGCTTAGTTGGTGTTGATTTATTTTTTGCTTTTGATAAAAATTAGGGTCTCAGAGGAAGATTATGTTGAGGCCATCAAGAAGGAAATTAACAAAGTTGTCAAACTCCAGGAAGAGCTTGATATTGATGTTTTGGTGCATGGTGAACCAGAAGTGAGATCCTCCCCCCCAAAATAAAATAGCTTAGTTTTGAATTGTGATGCATTTTCTTCTCTTTGAAATTTTACTGATTGGTAATATTTCCTCGCAATGTAGAGGAATGACATGGTTGAGTACTTTGGTGAGCAATTGTCTGGTTTTGCCTTCACTGCTAATGGCTGGGTCCAATCTTATGGTTCTCGCTGCGTCAAGCCTCCGATCATCTATGGTGATGTGAGCCGGCCCAAGGCGATGACAGTGTTCTGGTCTTCATTGGCTCAAAGTATGACTAAGCGACCCATGAAGGGAATGCTTACTGGTCCTGTTACCATTTTGAACTGGTCCTTTGTCAGAAATGACCAGCCCAGGTAGGAATAAAAATATAACTAATATAACCATGCTTGGTTTGCAGGCTGTTAATTTAATATATTGACAATACCTATCTATGTTTGTACTAGATTTGAGACCTGTTACCAAATTGCTTTGGCCATCAAGGATGAGGTTGAGGATCTTGAGAAAGCTGGAATTACGGTCATCCAGATTGATGAAGCTGCTTTGAGAGAGGGCTTGCCCCTAAGGAAGTCCGAGCATGCTTTTTATTTGAACTGGGCTGTTCACTCTTTCAGGATCACTAATTGTGGTGTTGAAGACTCTACCCAGGTTCTTTCCTCCTCTCTCTCCCTCTCTCTTTGTGTGTGTGTGCGTGTTTGTTTTTTGAAAGATACACATTGGATGTTGGGCTAAATGGTGGGAGGTAAATCCATCCCTCCCACCCATTCTATGATCTTTAACTTTAAAATTCAAGTCAGAAGTACCAGGTGAGCAGTCCCCTGGGATAGCACCACCTTTTAGTTTGTTGGCACAACTTCAAATGAAATGTCAAAAATAAATTTTATGGAAATTGAATGGAGAGTAGGTACATTTATAAAGGATAGTGACAGTTGACTTTAAAAAAATGTAGTGCCAGCATCACCACCCCACCCCTAAAATCCCAAGATCATGATTTAGACTTTAATGTTCGGTGGGCAATATACCACCACTGAAACTTGCAAATTCAGGAAAATTCTCCTACGGAGATTTTGGTGCATGTAGTGAACTGTATAGCATCCTAGATTTTGGGGGAAGGGGTGGGTGGAAGGTGTGCTTTTGTATGGCTTTACTGGCATCTCTTTGCTGGATTAATAATGCTAGCACTTGTTGATGATGCTACAACAATGTCTTGGACAGATCCACACCCACATGTGCTACTCTAACTTCAATGACATCATTCACTCAATCATTGACATGGATGCTGATGTGATCACCATCGAGAACTCCAGATCAGACGAGAAGCTTCTCTCAGTCTTCCGCGAGGGTGTGAAATATGGAGCAGGCATTGGCCCTGGTGTTTATGATATTCACTCTCCTAGGATCCCCTCAGAAGAAGAAATTGCCGACCGTGTTGAGAAGATGCTTGCTGTCCTTGAAAGCAACATTCTCTGGGTCAACCCTGATTGTGGTCTAAAGACCCGTAAGTATGCTGAAGTCAAACCTGCCCTCAGCAACATGGTTGCAGCTGCCAAGCGACTCCGCACCAAGTTCGCAAGCTCCCAGTGAGTTCAGGTAAAGCGTCGGTGAATTCGGTCAGAGAATCAACGAATTATCACTTTCATCTACTAAAGGAATTGTGTACTAAAGCTTGAATAAAAAGCTGTGTTTTTCTGAGATGAGTATTTTCCTCTTTTTTTTTTTTCATCTTTTAATTTAGGAATTAGTTACTGTGTAACTGGATATGCACTATAAGGTTTCTGTCCTTTAATTATCTAAAGCAATGAAGCCGTTTATTTTCCTGATTAATGCTTCTCGTGAGCTTTGAGTTGAGTTAGATTTTTCCTCGGCTCTGAGAGCATCTCCAAGGGAAGATGTTTGCCGAATATAGCTATTTATTTATTAATGTGCACTTCAATGAAAAAAAAACCATCTTCGTTCTCTACTAAAAGAGCCGTCAGAGTAACGGCTAGATATACTGGAAGATGAAGATCATCGTTCTCTACTTTTTGGTGCTGTTGGGTTATGGGCTTTTTGTTTTTTCATTTACGTATTCTTTAGTTTAATTTCTTTTTGATCCCTGCTGATTGTCTCGCACTTTGTAGAACCCTAAATCGTTTCTCATGCGCATTGTTCCTCTCTCAGAAAGTTCAATGTAATCTCTCTTACTGGTGAACTTGATTATAATTATTCAAAATAAGCATAAAAGGTCTTCTGCATGAGGCAGAGACAAAACACATGCAATTCACACCCCCCTTAGCCCTTGCTTGCTTCTGCATTTTCCATTTCTGTGCTGCTTTGTGATCAAATGTAAAAATCCTAAACCTAGCCAAAGATCTGGGGTTAGGTGTATAAAAAAAGTCAACTTGAACTAGGTTAATCGTGATTTTATTGACTTGGTTAAATCCAGTTTGATTTTTGATTTTTTTTAAAATGATGTTGTTTTTTTGTTATATATATATATAAATATTCTTTTAGTCGGTATTTTCAACCCAAGTATAACTTAATTCTTCATGATTGAACACCTATAACTTAATCCACTGGTTTATCCCAAACGTACCATTTAGCAATTTAAATTCTTAAAGAGAAAAACAACATGGTGAGAATTTAGAGAAAACCAATTGATGTCTTCAACGGTCAACATGGATCAAAGAATCGACATATATAAATTTTTAAACATAAAGGACTAAGTTATAACTGCATTTAAATCCAGGGACTGAAAAATAATTCACTGAAAATATAACTGAACCATGAAAAAAGAGCAGCTGCATGCAGGAAGCATCATTAGCAACATTATAAGCGTTTGATTTCATGCTACAAAAACCACAATATTAACATGAAATCGTTAACAAATACTGGCAACAACTCTTCTTCTTCCTCTAGATAATTGAATTTTGATTCAGAGATTAGAGAGAAATGTACAAGACTAAGCTACAGGAGGTGTGCCATAAGAGGCAATGGGGCTTGCCAGCTACAAAAACCACAATATTAACATGAAATCGTTAACAAATACTGGCAACAACTCTTCTTCTTCCTCTAGATAATTGAATTTTGATTCAGAGATTAGAGAGAAATGTACAAGACTAAGCTACAGGAGGTGTGCCATAAGAGGCAATGGGGCTTGCCAAAATACTCAGCTATGAAGGATGGACCTGATCACACCCCTTGTTTCAAGGCTTCTGTTTATGTTAATGGCATCTCCTTTCATTCTTCTGCTTCTTGCAAATCTTCTAAGGATGCCCATAATGATGCTGCCAAGATGGCCTTCCTTCACTTCACTTCTCCTCCACCTCCAAGTAATGAACTTAACACTCATTCACTCTCACACATAGTTGTAGAATTTAATATTGTTCTCTGAACTGATGAATTCTTGGAAATCAATCAATCTCACGGCATTCTCTTCTCTGCTCGAAAGGAAGTTTTTGGATTTGCATTTCAGGCTTTCGATACCTTTTGTACTTGTTGTTTCTGTCCTTGTTCTGTTTGTTTCGAGAGAAAAATTTCATTGCGTGAGATTTATGAGTTTCTTACAGAATAGTTTCATGAAAAAACTTTTGAGAAGGAACACGGAAGGAAGGAAATCAAATTCAGTGTCTAATTTTTCCTCTCTACACAGTTCCTTAGAGCTGTAAGCTTGCAGCAAATTTTTGCTATGGTTAATTTCTTGGATTATACAGTATCTTGTTAGTTGACGAAGGTTTACTTCTGTGGAAACTACATTACCGTGGATTATCTTCATTCATAAATGTGATCTTTGCTTCAAAATTTCTTTGGTCTTTACATATTGGCAATAGTAATGGATGATTGATTCATAGTGCAAGAAATATACAGTGCAAAAATATTCAATTGTTCCACTAATTTGGCTGATTTTAACCATGATATTAAACTTACTAATTACTATGCACATTGCAGCAAAATTTAGTCTATCATTATCTCTGACTCCTTCACTATCAGGTTCCTTCATGATTCCAGGAACCTTGGCCAACGGACCGGAAACTAATGAAACATCTCAGGAACTTGATAGTCATTCAAGTGTTTCTGATCCTAAAAATTGTGAGAAATTCAGAATGAACTTGATTGAATTTTATAGATCTCTTTATTTGAATTATATCATGTTCTTGATCTTACTGAATGAGGCTCTAAATTGTTGATTGTATCAGAACTAGAACCAGCTTGAAAAATAGCCTATGCTTTTAGTGCAGTTATCTTTTTGGTCCTCTTGTAATTTTATCTTAGAAAATCTATGAATTAGCTATGGACTCTAAGGCTGCTAAGATTGTCAGGGACCACTGAATAAATCTAGATACAAATGCATCAAGGAATATTGTAATTTCCAGTGAAATGACGCTTGAAGCTATACTGTCTAAGCACGTTACTTCTTACAGATGCTTTAATCTCAAGTGCTGAGCCACATGCTGGGGGGCAAAATGTTAAAGAAACAAATCAAGAATCAGATGTTCAATCCCTTAGTTTGGGTGTCAAAGCTGGTGGGCAGTGAGACATTTATTTTACACCCAAAAGTACCTAGATTTCATCTGTTCAAAGCTGGTGGGCAGTGAGACATTTATGATTTCATCTTCTTTTTCCTTGCCTAATCTATGGAATTTATGAGTTATTCTGAAGCTTACATTTTGTTGTCAAAACTACCATAAAGTACCTACCAACATCCGACTCTTGCTTTCAGATACGCCTTTGAAGTACAAGAGCCACCTGCAAAACTATGCTCGATGGAAAAACTGTGATTTGCCAACCTACTCCAACACACGTGAGGGTCCCTCTCATGCTCCATTCTTCAAGGCTACTGTCACAGTTGACGGGCATACCAGTGAAAGCCCAGAATTCTTCAATACTTTGAAGGCAGCTGAACATGCTGCTGCAAAGGCTGCCTTGATGTCTCTGTCAACAAATGGCTTTCTTGAGGCTAGTTTATTTAACTGATCACACAATTATACCTGCTCTATCTAGTTTTTTGTGTAGTATGAGTGTAGACAATGTCAACTCATGAGTTACATTCGTTCATTCTTTGTGCTGTCCAGGATGACTCTGGCTTTTACAAGAATGCCTTGCAGGAGTTAGCTCAGAGAGAAGATCTATCCATGCCGGTTTATAAAATTATAAAATCTGGTGCACTTCACATGCCGACATTCTTTTCTTTTGTGGAGATAGAAGGAGAGAAATTTTATGGCAAAGCGGGAAAATCCAAGAAAGAGGCAGAGTTGAAATCTGCAAGAGCTGCTTATACTGTTCTGAAGGAGCGTAAGTCAATTCATTCTTTTTATGAGGCTGCCTATACCATTATTTTGGGCACCAAAAACTTTGGTCTTCTGGTTAATTTCACCAGTATTTATGATCATATGGCTGGAAGATAAATTTCCATTCAAGAACCTGAGGTTCATTACAGCCACCTCTCCCCTAGAACAGGCATACTGGAAAATCCATGGAGGTCCATCTGATCACTAGTTTTTTTTCTTTCTTATTAGGTGCACTGAACAGGAATGCAGAGTCAGATCCCCCAAATTTTTCACCAGATGAAACTCTCAACTCTACTCCTGGCTTAGACATGACCACAGCTGAAAATCTGCAACAGCACCTCAAACAAAATGGTCAATTATCATCTCCAGTCATTGTTGATGAAGAACATTCTGCAGAAACTAAAGACATCATATCACTCAAATATGGTTTGTGTTAATGTGATTTATATTTTTAGTTTATCCTCACAAGTTCCTAGCCTGGAACTACGCTGCCGGACTTATATATCTGGGATCATGCTTATCACAGATGCAGTTCAAGAGGTAAACTTCGCTGATCCTAAATCAGGCAATGCCAAAGCTGGGCCTGAGGATTCCATACTGTCACCATCACCTGAAAAACCTGCTATTGTTGAAGTGATTGGAAATCAGGAATCATCCTCTTGTTCTGAATATGTTCCTACCTCATCACCAGAAGGCTCATCTTCCTTTACCTGGACACATAACAGCAGTTCCGCTCCCACAATTTCTGACTCAAATGTGAGGAAGGCTACAAGACCACGAAGCTACTTACTTTGCAACAGGGTCAGGGTGTATCCATGCTATCCAGACATTGCTTTACCAAATGGCATCACTGTGATGCCAATTAGCGACAACCAATGGGTGGCTGTGAGCTTGGAGTTCCCAATGGAACAAGGTTATTGATTCAGTGCAATTGATAGATCACTTTCTCCCTAGAATATAATTATCACCTTGTACTGAGCACTGCCAAAGGCCCATAGGTATTAAACTCTAATCAATTTTTCTTTGACGCTGAGAAAAAATGACTTGTAAAAGACCTTTTAATCGTCATAACAAGTGTTTGGAACACAAAAGCAACAAAAAAATCATAGTTCTCTTAGAAAATGAATATAAGCTATTGCCTTGAAAGCCTAGTTACAAGATCACAAGAACAAGAACAGATGACAAGAATTCTATTAACATTTTTTTAAGGAATTAACACCTGTTAGATTCACAAGAAGGGTGTCAAATCCAGCCTCTCGCACCCATTCCATTGTTGGATCAATAACTTCATAGACACGATCATTAACTTTAGCCAATGGCATAGTACTATCCATCTTAGGCTTTCTATTGATACGATGAAGGTCCCAAATTTGTTGATCTCTTTCTCCCTGATACATCGCCTTTTTGCGAGCGTGTTCATAGTTTAATCAACTTGATTGCAATCCCATCCGCACCTGGCTGGTTCCGGGGCACAGGTCTGATCCCTTTTGTTTTGTTTTTTCTACCTTTTCATTTTTTTAAAATAAAGTTTCTGTAAAATATTTGCCACCTATATAATTATATTATAATTTTTTCTTTATATTTCATGAAATGAATACCAAAGAAAATTAATTAATCAAAGTAAATTGTAATTTATTTAATATATATAATGTTTTTCAACATTTACATAAAAAAATTAAGTAAGATTTTTTTTTTATTGAATGAATCATTTTTTTTTGCATATATTAAAAGGAAAAATATATTATTATTGAAAAATTGTATTGAATAAGTAAAATATACATGATATAGTAAAATGAAAACACAATGCCTTTTAATTTTCATCAGAAGGGATTGGAATTCAAAAGCAACAGAAGATCAGAACAATAAACCATTCAATTCTAACTTTTTTTTTTTTCATAAAAAGGATGAATTTTCTATTTATATAATTGTGATATTTTAAAATAAATAAGCTGAAAAAAAAATAAAGCCCTTGTAGGCTTAAAAGGGGATATAAATGAATAAAGAGTATTATAATCATTTAATAAATATAATAAGTATAAATTAAAAAGGAAAAAGAAAAAAGAGGGATCTGAAATTTTAGAAGGAGGGACGTCAGGAGAGAAGGGAGAAAGAAAAAGAGAAGAAAAAAGAAAAATAAAAAGGAGTCAGAAAAAATAAGTTTAAATGTAAGATTAAGGTTTTTAAACGTATAAATGTATGTTCTTTTAGCTTTAAATTTTTATTTTGATGAATATTAGGGTTTTGAAGATTGTATTTTGAGTTGATTGATAAATTGATTTGAATGTTATGGGTTGATTGTTATAAGTAATTAATTATTTAGTTGATTATGAAAGATTGTAGATAAATATGATGATTTTGAGTTATAGTTTTGATTGAATGGTGAATTTATGTTAAAAATCAGAAGAAAACAGTAGGCAATTTGTATAAATTCTAGGTTTGAGGTTGAAGGTGATGAAAATTCAGTTTGGTCCCTCAATCTGTGAAAATTATAGTTTAGTCCCTAAACTTTGAAAAAATTATATATTAGTCCCAGGAGCACATTCCAAGATTCTGAACAGAATAAAAGATGAATTATGGGTAGAATTACAGTATAGTTATGAAGTTTTAACACTTTCAATTTGGTCCTTTTATTTTACAAAAATTACAATTTGACCCAAAAATTTAGAAAATTCTAGAATGGTCCTTGAATCATAATTTGAGATTCTAGAAAGAAATTAGGATGGATTATGGACAAAATTCCACTATAGTCATGAATTTATAATACTTTTTAGTTTGGTCCTCTAATTTGACAAAGTTACAATTTGACCCTTAAAAATATAATAAAATTCAAATTGGTCCCTAGTTATAATATTAACTTTTGCAGATCTCGTAAATGGATAATTAAGGTTTATTTAGTAAATTATTATCAATTTTATTATTTATTTTATTATGTATTAGATTTTGAAAAAACCATTTAATTTTGAGTTTTTAGAAAAATAATTAGTTTGGTCTAAAAACATATAGGGTTATGAAATATACCCTTAGTTAAGTGTATTAAATAGGTTGTATGTTCTTTTGAGTCAAATTTTGATTATGTCTCCTTTGTATTCAGACAATTTTGATATTCTACTAGCAGGACATTAATAGGATTTTCTTCGGTATCTACTTTCGAGTTTTGTTTGTTTTCAAGTCAGATGAGTGAATAATTTTTTATATGCATGAGAAATATTATAAATATTTGATTTGTTAATTTGAATTGAATCATGCTTCTTGATAATATATATGTTGATTATTATCCTTGTTATGATAAAATATGATCAGTTGTTAAACATGAATTTTTGATATGAACCAGTATATATTTTGGATTGACTTCTGAATTGATAGCTCCTTATTTAATTAATATCATGAGTTGAGTCTTGAGATATGAGTATATCTGTTTGATTATGATTATCAACCTATGGTATGCTAGTCACAGTACTCATGCTAATAAGGTAATGTTATTCTCTGTGCACATCATATCTAAACCCTAATAGATCGGGAGAGTCACCAACCTGTGTGGACTGATTATCTCACAATATGGGAGCCTCATGCTCATTGCATTTTGATTTTCTGATGAGCTTTACCTTATGATATTCTTGTTATTATCTATTTGAGAAGCCTTCCTATAATAATTTAGAGCCATAATTATATATACATTCCTCATTGTTGCATTACCTTGTGTATGTATATTGAACATTATCTATTTATTGAGTCGTTGAACTTACTCTTTTATTATTTTTTTTTTCAGGTTTATAGTTTGTTAGTGGGTTATTTTGTTGGACCTTTAGAACTTGTTTTTTTTTGTTGTAATTATACCTTTCCTTTATGTTTAGTTAGTACTTGACAATTATAAATTTGTATTAACTCTTGTATTAAGACAATAAAATTATATTATGAAATTAATTTTGTTATTAATACTGCATTGGACTTTGATTGAGTTATTTGTATGTAAGTTTGGGTTTGAGGAAAACTTTGCCTATATACTAGTTATACATCTAAGAATTGGGTCGTGACAATTATATGCTAAAAAAATCTAAGAAATTAAGCTGGAGAAGACTGCAATTTCAGCTTCACTTCCCTGAAGTACAATTGCATAATCTTCAAATTTTGACCTTTTATTCAACTTGTTTACCTTTCAAGCATGTTTTGACACCCTGCAGAATTTATTCATAAGCACACTTGAAAAATCATGAGGTAGTGTGTTCTTCGATCCTCTAGCTCTCATATTCTCCGTGAAACCTCATAGCCTTTCGAACATAAAGCCCAAGAGCAAGAGCAAGAACAATAACAAGAACAAACAAACCAGTTGACACAAACACTGTTGGTGATATTCTCAGCTGCTTTTTATTTGCTACCAAGCCACCACCGCCATCAGTTTCATGCTTTTCACTTGTGCCCGTGGCCTTTCCCTCTTCAGGCAAGATATAATCACTCTTCTGATCCTTCAAGTTAGCCTCAGTTGAAGTAGCATTTGTTTTCCCATCAATATCTCCCCTTGTTTGTCCTTTTACCTCGGTCTTTGGAGGTACTTCTTGAGCAGCCGGGTCTTGTCCACTATTTTGGTCGTCTGGTTTTGCAGGCTTTTGAGGCTCTACAGATGGGTCTGCATTATTGTCCTGCACTGGTTTTGTTGGACTGGTTATCTTCTTGGGGTGTTTGATATAAAGAACTCCACCCGCAAACCTTGCACGGACTTGATTAAGATCATAATCTGATGAAACAGTAAGCTTCTTTTTAAAACGGATCCATTTATTGTCTCCTTGATGGCTCTCTCCTGTGATCTTGAGTTTTTGTTCACCTGTGTTTGCTTGGATCTTTATTTGCTGCTTTGTAAAACCTGTAGGATCAATATAAGCAATCTTATTACACAACCCAAAAACTTAAACGGTGAAATAACAAGAATGATTTTATATTTTTTCTGTTACACATCTTTTTAAATGATATTGTATCAAAAAATCATTTCAATTCAAAAATTTAAGCTATTAAGTTATATTGTAAGAATGATTTTATATTACTATCTAATATTGAGCAAGAATAAAGCAAATTACTGACTAAACACCCTTTAAAGCAAACAAATGATTGTAGACAAGAACAAATGACTAGAATTATAGAACATCTCAGGGTATGATGAAATTTCACCTGGCAGATGCACAAGTAGGGTGTCGAATCCATCATTTTTCACCCATTCCATTTTAGGATCAATATCTTCATAGACATGATCCTCAAATTTAGCCAATGGCTTAGTGCTATCCATCTTAGGCTTTCTAATGATATGTAAAATCTTTCAAGTGAGCTTGAAAGGTTCCAGATTTCCTGGTTTTATGCACAAGGTAAAAAAAGATTTGTAATGTGATAGGAATTTTCTTTGCACTCCCATGTTATTTCTCTTATTATTCGTTACGTAAATTGTTTCTTTTCATTCCGAAGCTTCTTTGATTTTGCCTCCTGAGCGAGGCAAAGCGCGAAATTCTGTGTAAGTGCTTTGTGGCCTTTTATTCCAATTGATTTCTTTTGAAGATAGCTTTACAGCCTATTTAAAAGGATCAAATATGTACAAAATACAATTGCTAGATCTCTTTCTTCCTAATGTATTATCTCTTAGTGAGTACGTTCATATAGCTCAAGGAATCAACCATTCGATTTTCATATAGAGAACGTAAGCACTAATTCATGTCGTCTTGACTCTTTCCTTACTATACTTTAGAATTCCGGGTGAAGGAAGCATGCGTTATTGGTCGAAGGCAGGTTAAAAAAGGATACCTTCTTGCTTCCCGAAATAACAGGTGAAGAGCGAGGATGGTATTCCAGTTCAGTACTGATCTGTGTATAGTTTAATTGATTTTTCTTCCATGCTGACAACATGAATTGGATATATAATTAAAAGCCCTATAATTGCTTTTAGAAGTTCTCTGGAACTAAAAAAATACTGAAATTCAAAGTCGTATTTTTGATGTTATAATAAGCTATTATGTTGAAACTTCTCAAAAGACGCATTCTGTGAATTGTCTGCTATGAACATTGTTAATCACATCTTTTTCAGCACCAAATCTCAGGTTGCGATTGGTTAATGTTTCATAACAGGAAAAACAAATACAAAAGGGATAAAATCGTGTTTGTTTGAAGGACCGGAGACGGAGACATACAAATAAATCTTTCTCTAACACATAAAAGAAGGCTTATTCCTTCTCTTTATTTAATATTATTCTGTGCATATTTGCAGAAATTATGCAATTTTTGAGCCCTTTATTCAACATTGTACGTTTTCAAACATGTTTTGAGGTCATGTACCCCTTATTCAAAGGTTTACAGCACAATTCTTAGTCTCGGATCCTCTAGTTCTCAGCTTCTCCACTAGATCTGATAGCATTTTGAACATAAATCCCAAGTACCAGGATTAATAAACCAGTAGCCACAACAAAGTGTGTTGATTTTCTTGGCTTCTTCATCTCTGCTACCAGACCTCCAAAACCCTGCTTATTACGTGCTAAGTTAGCATTAGAAATACCACTAACGACAGCAGTTTCTTCTTCCTGTTGCATCTTTGCAGCATCCTGGACAGAGTAGCCGTCATCTTCATGCTTTTCATCACCTGTGCTGGCGTTCTTTTCTGGTTCGGCTAAGCCAAGATCACTCTTCTGGTCCTCCGAAGTCTTGGGAGGAACATGGATATTGTTAGCCTCAGTAACAGTAGCATTTTCTACCCCATTGATTTTCCCACTTGCTGGTTCATCAGTTTCACTATTTGGAGGAACTTCTTGATCAAATTCTTGTCCAATTTTTTGATCTTGTGTTTCTTCATTGTTGGGCTTTTGAGGCTCTGCTGTTTCCTGCACTGGGTTGGCTGGACTTGTAATCTTCTTGGGGTGTTTGACTTGAAGTATGCCACCCTCAAACTTTGCACTGATTTGATTAACATCATAATACAATGGAATAGGAAGCTCCTTGTGAAAACTGCTCCATTTATTGTCACCATGAAAGCGTTCGCCCATGATCCTGAGTGTTCGAGTTGACGTCACCTGAACCTTCAGTTGCTGTTTCTTAAAACCTGCAGAAGCAACACAAACAACCTCATATCAGCAAACTCTCCTCTCTTTCTTCAAGATGCTGTTATTTCTATGCGGCCCTGCCGAGCATAATTACGGAGAATTGCGAGACTAAACCAGCTTTAAAGAAAACTAACAATTACTAACCAGAGCTGTTAAAAAACAAGGAGAACTAATGAATAAAATTCTGAAAACATTTAAAGGGATGGAATGTCACCTGGAATATACACAAGTAGGGTGTCGAATCCAGCATCTCGAACCCACTCCAATGTTGGCTTGTAATCTTCATAGGCATGATCGTTAAGTTGACCAGCCATTTCCTCAGTAGTATTCATCTTGGCCTTTCTATTGGTAGTTATCTTTCAAGTGAATATGAAAGCTCCCAAATCTGTTGGTTTTTTTATACTGTGAAAGAACTTTCGTTTTTTGACATGTTTTCTTTGGTTTCAGTTATTCCTTTTCTCTTTGAAGCTTCAATGGATTCGCCTGCAGACGGCCTTTCGGCTGTGGACACTGTAAAGGGACTGGATTATATATGCTTTAGATGTGTAAAGAGTTGATCACCTCATGCCTAAGGCAAAGGGGAAGTTCTCAAGTAAGCCTTAGAATTTGAGGCTAAAGACTCTGACATGTCCATCAGATGATGAGAATAACGGTGAACAGAACTTGAGTTATAGTTTATGCTCTTTGTTCCCCGAAACCCTAGTCTACAAGAATAAGGAAAAATAACAAAAATCAATTTGGAAATTCATAGATTGAACCCAATTTCAATTTTTTTTAGGACAGGATCCGGTTGTGATCAAGCAATCGAGCACTTCCTTTTGTCTGGAAATGATCAATTAAGAAATTGAATAAATTAATTATTCAATTATGATATGGAGCCAATATTTTGGATGCCCCTATTTACTTAACACTGTAATAGCTTACAATGCTCGGTGTACTTGCATGAAGTCTGGCATGTTAAAAAATTAATTTGCTAAACCAAGTTAATTTTATTAAACTCGAAACTGGGTTAATTTAAAAAAAAAAATTATAATTTTTGTTTAAATGATATTTTTTTAAATTATTCAAAATAATATTGTTTTATGTTTAAAATTTCAAAACGCACATGATTTTAGATTTAACCTGGCAAACTTTAGACTTAAATCTTAAATTGGGTGTGATATCCATGTCTAAACCAACTAATTTTCCTTTTTTTATGTTTATTGCATCAAGTCCTCTTTTCACTTTTTACAGTGGCCATAACATTACTGGAGACCAAAATTTTGAAAAGAAAAAAATTCTGAAGGAGCCCCTTTATTCCCAACACCCCAATGTTTCATATAATTTTATAGTTGTTATAATAGTTTTAAAATTGTTCCAAATACTTTAATATAGTTATCCAAATTAGTGTTGAGATATTGTTATTTAATAGGCAACAACATTCGCAGTCTGTCCTAAGAAAGAGGGTTGCTATTGTTAAAAGCCTATAATACTAGGTGTGTATTATCAAGTCAAGTTGCACCAATCATTAATAAAATGGTACAATTCACGTGTTGCCACCATTTATGTTAGAATTTATGACCTCTTGTCTACCATTGAATTACTTATAAATAGAGGTATCATTTCAGAGTAACATGAGAGAGAGAGTGAAGAGAAGAGAAAAAGAAAGAAAGTGGAGTAGCTGTTATCGTTACATGATGTCGGGCGATGACTCCACTCTATTTTGTTTGTTTTAACAAAAAAGAATAATTGTTTTTTTTTCTTGATTGAGGAAAATAAAGATTTTATTGGAGTCGCCATCTAGTAATTTGAGGGAACTAGAAATCCAAAATTAAACACTGGTCCTAGAGATTCGGGTACTGGGTTAGTTATGATTAAGGGAAGGTAGATATCACCCTTAAAATATCCTTTCAGAGAAATGTTACCTTTACTTGTGTGTTTTTTTTATTTGATTCAAATGCTATTATCTTTTGAGCTTATTTGTAAATTTTTTAAGATGGTTAACGTCGGTCCCTAAAAATAGAAGACATGTTAAAAATGACACCAGTCCCTAAAATTAGGAGACTTCGTCTAAAATGTCGACGTTTGTCCCTAAAAAAGAGAGTTACGTCTAATTTACCAAAAGAAATAATAATGGACATAATCCATATTTGATATTTGAATTTTTGACATCGGTCATTTTCTGTAAATAAAAGAGATATGTCGACAAATAATATTTATTTAATAAAACAAAAATTAATTTGATATCATTGAGAAATGAGTATATCCATTCTTAAGAATCGGGTTTTGACCCATGAACTACATGATAAAATGGGTGTTGGACCCACGTCGTTATTTATTTTAAATTTATTTTTTTGTTTTTTTTACATGCAAAAATTTACAAGTATTTACATATAAAAATATCAAAAATACCATAAAAATCATAAACAATTACCTGAGTGCCATTGTATAGGTAAAAGACTGAAATACCTCGGATTTCTCTAAAATTTACCAAAATGCCATTGGCGGCGCGTGTGGCTCACGTGCGGCTACTATTGGTGGCGACTAACTTTTTCGGTGAGGTTTTGGCCAAAAGATGGTTGATTTTGGTAGATCTGAGGACGAGGATTCTGATGGTGGTGGTCTCGACGGCCGTTGATGGCTGATAAAGGAGAATCGACGACTTGAAGCTTGGTTGGCCGATGACAGATGCGACCTTTTTCTGGCCAGATTCGGTGATGAAAACATGTAAAACAGCTGGGGTTTTGCTTCAGAAGAGGTGATGCACCTTTTTATGGTGGTTTGGCCGCTTAAAATGACCGGAAATGGAAGATCAGAGGAGAGAGAGAGAATTGTCGGCGAGAGGAGAGAGGGGCTCTGAGCTTTGATACGGTGTGAACGAATGTATGGTGTACCGGTGCATCTGAAGTTTGGGAGCCGTTGGATCGTGGATGAACAGATTTGTGCGGCTGTGATTGGCTTGATCTGCAAGTAGATCAGACGGTCAGGATGAGCTGGGCTATGATATGGTGTGTCGCGGTGTACTGAGTGTTTGGTACACCTGATGACGTGGTGCAACAGGATCAAAGGGTAGATTATTTTAAAGGCCGAGATGGATTTAGGTTTTAATCTGGTGTGGTAAAGCTTATTGTATACTAAAAAAATCAAAGGCTCAGATTTAAATACTATTAGATCTAACGGTTGAGATATTTTTGGTATTTTTCAAATTGTTTTTTTTAAATCAATATCTTACTCGCCCGAAGAAAAAGTAGAAAATAAATAAATAGTAACACAAATGGTAATATAAATAGTTTGCTTTCGAATTTAGAATTATAGGGTCTTGGTTTTATTGGCTATTTATAGCCAATGATAAGGGACAACGAATCACAAATTGTGTAGTTAATCACGAGACTGTGCAAAATTTTCAATGTACAGCTACATCGCCTACCATCGGCAGAAATCCTCTGCCTACTGTGACAAAATTGTATTATTTTTTTTGTTTTATTATATATAATAATAATATTTATTTATAGGGGTAAAATTAAAAATTCAAATCAGTATTATAAAAAGCTTTTCAACTGCTAAAAACCAATTTTAATTACAATTTTTTTTTATACGGGTATCAACTCGGTGGATCGGGTTTTTTGACAAAAAATAACAGTTTTGACCAAAAATAGCCTGAAACTCATTTTTTCATCGCGGTCAACTTGGTGGGACCCGTATTGACCTGGTGGATTCGGTTTTGACCGAAAATGACGGTTTTGACTCGAAACGTTCCGAAACTCATTTTTCATCCCGGTTGACATGGTTGGACCCGTATTGACCCGGTGGACTCGGTTTTGACTAAAAATGTTGGTTTTGACCGAAAATGATGGTTTTGACCCGAAATGGCTCGAAACTTATTTTTCATCCCGATCGACGTGGTTTAACCCGTATTGACCTAGTGGACTTGGTTTTGACAAAAAATGACGGTTTTGACTCGAAACGTTCCGAAACTCATTTTTCATCTCGATCGACATGGTTT